TGAGGCAGCCTCTCCAGCAGGTTCTGCAGGCCACACCGACGCTGGTGCTCCAGCAACTGCCCCGCCAGCAAGGTCCAAGCTCACTTGCTGGAAGCCAGGTTGTGTACAAGTGAACGGGCTGTGGCAGGTAAAAAAAACAGACGAGCCCTGGAAGGAGCCGCTACCTGCTGGTATCATAGAATGGTTTGGGTTGGAAGGGACCTCAAAGATCATTCAGTTCCAACCCCCCTGCCATGGGCAGGGAAACCCTCCACTACACCAGGTTGCCCAAAGCCTCATCCAACCTGGCCTTGAATATCTGGCCGTATCCCGACGGACACGAGTTTTGAGAGCTCGCACCAACTGTTGCGATGGCGACTGGATGAGCCACAAGCTCCTTCTCCAGGCAAGCTCTGGGCTACAAGACTGTGACAGCAAACCTGGTTTGGGCACAGAGCATATTTCCTATGTTTCCTCCTTTTCCCCACACCTGGAAAAGCTGCACACATGGCCCCGCTGCCACAGAAGCAGAACCTGCATTAAGGTTTTTCCCATCTCCTCCTCTCGAGCCCCGTACGGCAGGGCAGCGCAGAGCCAGCGTGCCCGAGCGCTCTCTGAACCTCTTGCATCACCCTTGTCTGATCTGATGAATGCAACAAGCATGTAGTAAACAAGTTCGTATTTCCGTAAAATAATGCGGATGTTGAACCTTGGAGTTTGACAGAGTTCAGATATGTGAATTACTGCTGGTCAGAGCCAAGTCCTACCTAATCCACTAGTTTTACACCACAGGTCTAAGTTTAAATCTGTGTCACGGGGAAGGTTCAAGGCTGCCTGTGAGGTTTCAGGGATCCCTGTGTACCAACAGATGCAAAAAACCCAAACAGAAGACTTGAAATTCACGACTCTCTACTGGAGGGAGTCAGCTGTTTACAAATCCCGCAGACTAACGGCCATATAACTATTCACTTGGGGCTAAACGCGAAGGGAACTGGCCATGCAACTTTACCAGCAAAGTAAAAATATCATTAGCTGGGCCTTTTAGGTATTTTCTGACCTCCCTCTCCTGACAGGCCAAACATCTTCCCTAAGGACATTCAGAAACCAGAAGCAGTACAGGTTTAGAAGAGCAAAGCTCAATAGCCTGAAACCACCACCTGGTAAATAAATTAGGATGCGGAATTACCCTGGCCATAAGGAGATGCTTTGGTCACAGTTTAGGTAAAAATGGGCAGTTTGGCACACATGACAGATTATTTTTTTGAATAAGCCACAAGGACACTACCAATGTTGTAGTTGGTCACAACTCAGGATTGGTAACGGCACACAGTCTTGTTCCACATCCTAGTTACCTGTAGCTTCTGAGACTCGAAGCTAGAGAGAATTTTGGCTGCAAGAAACCACGACAGTTAAGAAAAGTTATAACCTCCTCCTACTTCAACAAAGGTTACGAAGTACTGAGGCTGTACCTGGATTTCCTGGACCCAGACGGGGAGTGGGAAACTGAGGCAGACGACGATCTGGAATGAGATCTGGAGAGAGATCGAGACAAGGACCTAGATCGGGAACTGGAACCACTGTAGCTGCTGGCACTGCCGCTGATGCTGCCGCTGACAGTCCGCCTGCAAGACAGCAAACGACATCCTCACCTCGCTGCGCTCCGCCGCGAAACGGGGCGAGAAGAAACTGTTTGGGGACTGCTGGAGCACGATGCTGTTGTCCTGCATTGTGTAAGAGATGGGGGCTTTGCAAACGTAATCGGTTCAGATGTTCTTCTCAACCGTGCGTTCCCACTCCTGAGGGAGCATCTGTTTTCTGACCAGGAGATGTTTTACACCAGACTGAATAATTGCTAAGGAAAGCCAGGCAGAAAATGAGCCAAAGCACCTTAATCCTGCATTCATACCAGGAGCAAACGCTTCCTACAGTGAAAAATTGCTAACTGCGTAACGCAGTGGGACTACCTTGTATTTCAGGCTATGTATATAATCAAACACATTTTTTGTGACTAACACACCAGTACTGACACAAATAGAGCTGTTCTGTCATTTGCCCAGCAGGGAGAGCGTAGGGCAGTGGGGTTTGTGTGGGTATATGCAAGAAAAAAACCCACCAAACCCCAAGATTGGAATAAAGAATAAAGGAAGGTGGCTAAAGGCATCCAAGATTATTATTATTAACTAGTTAAAATAAGTGAGACGGAAATTAGGACTGACGTTTCTAGGGAAAAGATCAGTTTCTATCTATGGAGACATAACTGCTCAGCCCAGGCTTTTTCTTTAGCTACTGGGAAGAAAGAGGAGATGTAATCAATTAAGAATTGACTCGGGACGCTTCTGAAAACCTGAACAGAAACCAGACTTACAGCCATCTTCAAAACACACTGACAAAAAGCATCATCATCATCATCAAAAAGCAGTAGGGGAGCTTTTCCTCCTCTCCTCCAGCAGTACTGCTGGATGCTGCTGGACCTCAGCTCCTGGGACCACACAGAAATACTCTCTGTGTGCTGGCACATGTTTAGAGCAAACAGGTCCAAACCCATCACCACAAACCACGACCCTCCGACACGTCTGATCTGCTCTCTGGACCAAAAGCACCTCTGCCTCCTCGCTGCACAGCCTCCGCAAGCAGCGGCTCTCAAACACGCCTGCTTTTGCATTGCAGACCCTGCCTCTTGAGGCATTCCGTGTATCCCACCTGCCCCATCCCCCAACCAGCCTTCAGAGCCAGGAGCCACTTGCTGTGGCAAGTCACTAGCGCTCACCCCATCTCCTTCCCCCTCTTCCCATTTCCTTCCTGCCCCAGGAAACAGATTTCTTCTTTAATACTGAAGAGTCCTTGTAGTTAGTTGGTAATCCCAAGAGAAATCCAGGATTTGCTCTATCTTCCAGGAGATCAAACCTCACTCCACCTCACATCTTTCTTACCTTCTGGGTGGAGTCCTTGTCTGACGTTCCTTCCTTCTTGCCTCTCGATTATCGCCTGGTTTGGCTGGCTCCGGTGCAGCTGTTGTAATTTTAGTGAGTGGCTGAGGGACTGGAAGGGCAGCTAATTTCTTCACAGCTTTTTCACTACAAAAAAAAAAAAATCAAAATTTTCACGTGTGTGAGATCAAAGTCAGTAGACAGAGAGCACAGACATTTTCAAAAGCGACGAACGCGCTCACGTTTGTTGTTAGCTAAATATTATACAGACGTAATTGCTGCAGCTAGAGACACGTGGCTTTGTCATCAAAATACTGTCCAACGACACAGATTCCCTTTTAGGGATCTGTTTCCCATACTGTAAATCCAGTCACCTTTTTAGAGACAAGTTACTATACAACAGCCAATTTTGGAGACATTCTACTTGTAAATTAACTGGCGAAGCAGACCGTGTGGAATCGCTGCTTCTCATCCACTTGATTCTGTGCATTTTTATCCAAAATACATATACTGACTTAAAACCCGCCAGCCAGGCTTCAGGATCAAAGGCACACAGCTTATGCAAAGATGCTCTTTTTGGCTCCATTGCACGGATTAGTGCGTGGAACACTGGTCAGGTTAACACCACCGCGGAGCGCCGCTACGCAGCGTTGGCACGGCTTCATCGAGTCTGGGCTCGGAGCACTCCAGCCTCTGCTCTAACAGCTCAACATCCCCAGCACTGGTGTCACACCTACTATTAACTGGGGAGGAGGTGGCTGCCTGCATACAAAAATAGAGACTGTTAATTCCTGCTCTTGTACTTAATATCCGTGTTCATCCCCTGCAGAACACAGGATTAAGTGCAGGCAATGTCAAGTAGCAAAAACAAGCCCCACGCTAGTGCAGGCTGCTGGCTGGTGTGGTGTGTCACCAAACCAGCACTGCAAACGTGCACTAGAAGGGGGTAAAGACATGGCCGGAGGTGGAGAGCGTGTCCTTAGAGGGTTGAACCCTCTGAGTTGAGAAGAGAAAACAAACCAAACAAACAAAAAAGCAGGTCAATAAGTTACGAGTGTGGCAAAGGGGATTGTCCCATATTCTGGAGAATTCAGGGGGATTCCCACGGTGTAATTTATTTGCAGGTCACCTTAGAAGGGGTGACATCACTATGGTGTTGTGTCACCCTTCGACGTATCCATAATTTACTACGTATTACAGGAGTTTGTGAAACAGCAACTCCGAGTATTTAAAAGAGCATGAGTGTTGGCATGATCTGTTGAAGGAACAGTTCCATAGCTATAGTAGTGTTTCAATTTGTCTCCAACATTAAAAGTAGATGAACCATTTCTTTATTCTAAGGCTGTGCATTAACTAAAGCTACAGCAGAGAAATGAACTAAACTTTCTCGTAGCTCCTGTACAAACGTATCTGCACACACAGTGTTTAAACAGCAAATCATGGATGTGGTTAAAACACTCACGGATACAGGATGGGGGCCTTGATGTGGCACGTAGGGACAGAGCTTGGTGGTGGACTTGGTAGTGTTTAGGTTAACAGTTGGACTCAATTTCTCCAACCGAAACGATTCTATAGAATACTTACAGATATCTGTACGTTTTAACTCAGATTTAATACGTGAAAGTGTCATCATTTAATTATATATGCAAAGCTAAGCATTTTTCTGTGTGGGTCATGTTTTGCATCTTCCATTTCTTCCTCAAACTGTCAACCAGGTCAGCAGGGTCTGACTCAGGAACTAGGCTACTGCTTGGAAGCTTTTCTGCGTTGCGATACCGAAACGGAGACAAAGCCTTACCCTTTACCAGCAGGTGGTAACAGCTCCCCTTTCGCCTTTGCGAGCGGCTTGTGCGGAGACGGTGTTGGAGAAGGAGAGGGTGAAGATGAGAAGGACCGTGATCTGGAAAAGAAGGACACATCGCTCAGCTCAGTCTCTGGGACTGCAGAAGGCTTTCCTGGCTCTCAGTGCACTTAGCCACCCCTCCTTCCAGCTAGCAACTGCATCCCAGGAACTAGTCCCCATGGGTCTGAGCTTATCCTACTTACACATCTGAACTCTGCTCAGCAAAACTCGCTTCTGTCACCAGATCAGTGGTAAAAGTAGCAAACAAAAGGAAAAAACAGGGTCAGCTGCAAAAGCAGCGCTCTCAAGTATTCCACACCAACATCTGAGGCTTTCTCAATACTCTCTGTACACTCCTTAGGGAGAATGTGTCTACAGGTAAGTAAGTAGGATTTTAACTCGCAAGTTCAGGACAATTTGTTCTAACCTGCTGTATGTTCCTGTAACTCCTACTGCAGTCCACAATCCTTTAAAGAGAAGCAAAAAAAAAACCATCTTGGGAGAAAGATATAAAAAATACATCTAACTGGTATCTTGGAACACAAGGAGAAAAATTAAGCCAACAGATCAAAGGGGAAGAGTTGTTTCCTAAGATCAGGACTGCCCAAAGAGGCAAGCCACTTAGACAGCACACCAGATGCTGGAGTTCAAGTGATTCACCCCACTGCCAAGACTGGAAGTACCCTTCTTGCAGCCTTGTACTTCACAGAGAGCCAGACACCTCGGTGATGGGCTTTCTGAAGGACAGTTAGGCACTCGGGTGCTCCTCACTCTTGTACTTTCAGCATCGAGGTTGGCTCCCACCTGAGCCTCTCCTGGGAGAAACCACCTCTGTGAAAGCAACACCGTGTGCTGCCACCAACTGTGTGATCCACTCTGGGTACCTGTGCAACTTCAGCTCTGAAGAGGGGCCTACCTAGGGAGCCAGTTCTCCTACTATGCATATTCCAGACTTGGGAAACTGTCTGCAGGGGCAAGGAAGTGGCAGAGTAATAAACATGCCTCTGTTTAATCAGCGCGGGACACTGCATCGCAACTTTGAAGTGTGAGGACTATCAAAAGACACAACTGCATGGGCTGCTTTAATAAAGAAATATGATTTGCCTCTTTAAATAGAAATTCCAGTGCACCAGAAAAGATACCAGTAACTTCTTCCAATCATAAAATGCAAATGATGGCAACGTTAATCTCAGCCAGGCTCCTACAACCGCTCAGCTACCACAGGCATGGGAAACAGCCCAGCCACAACAGCCAGTACTCGTGGGTGGGGGTACTGGGAGGGAGGTACTGGGGAGTCCACAGTACTCGTGGAGGGGGTGGCTGACACATCTGCTTCCTGCACCAACCAAACCAGCAGGCTGCTTTGCAGTCTATTGTATCTACCTCACTCAGAAAAGTGGTTTGAAAGTGGTTTCATCTCAAGAGCTGGCCATTTGCTTTTAAGTAGCAGCAAAAGTAGTTGTTAGCAAGCGTTTGGAAGGCACCACACCATTCCTTTCAAAGCCAAGGAGTCGTTACCTGGACCTGCTGCCTGAGAAAGAGCTGTGTCTTGAAGAGCGACTAGAGTAAGAGCTGTATGATGATGATCTGGAACGAGATCGCGAGGAACCTGAACCAGAATAGGTGGATGAACGAGAAGAGGACCTGAAAGAAAAATACTCAAATTCAGCACCTCTCGAAAAGTCCTCCAAGACCAAGGTCTTATTTCTAGTACACTCTTCCCAAGTTCTCAAACACTGCTCCAAAAATTACCAGCCTTGTCCTCGGTGGTCTGTCAGGACTACAGCCCCTCCTCAGTCCTCCCCTTTTCTTTTAGAGAGGATCCCGTTGTTGCTACCCTCTTTGCTCCCTTGAACAGGCCTCCCCTCCTTTAGCTCCTGTCTTTCCATCCCTTTTTGGGAACTCCTTCCACACATTTTTATGCCTTTTCATCAGGCAATCCCCTGACAGGTCGGGTCACACAGGTATGGGAAAACAGAAAAGTTTCAGGTGCAGTGATCCCAAGAAGAAACGCTATCTACTTCAGGAGGACTTTGGATTTTAGATCCATATCTTCAATTCAGTGTGTTCCTCATTCCTCTCTGATACTTTCCCCCCCTCTTTTCAGGAGCTTCAAGTTCAAGCATTTAAAGAAAATGGATACAGCTTATGCCTCAGCTCTCCTACATTCAGGGTGCTTCTTTCTGATATGTTTTTTATCTCGCATGTGCTGGTTTCTGAGCTCCACTGCAGCCCTCTAAGGCTCTGTCAAGCCTCCACCACCTCAGTTTTTCCCCAGTTGCATCAGCAGGCTCTTCCTGGAATTGGCTCACCTCGCCCTCCTAGCACTCCAGAAGTGAAGAGGCTCCAATTTTTACAGCTTCCAGCTTTTTCTGCTCCTATTAAGGTCAGTTTTCACTCACCTTGAAGAGCCAGAAGCCGAAGCTGAAGAAGCAGAGGTTTTTCTGCGCCTACGTGCACGGCTGGGAGAGACGGAGACACCGAGTTTCTTTTTGGGGGACTTGGATCGGCGCCATGGGTCCTTCCATTCATCCGCTCTCTTCGACTGGGTGGTGGTAATTGTGGTTGCCTCCTTCTCCTTCTTTGGTGGCTCAGGCTGACGGCTGGAAAACAAAGAGGAGTTAAGGAGCTGGGATTTTTTTTGTATAGTAAGGTTAATAGAAACACAGGGCCAGGAAAAGTTCTCAGAAATTCCTCCTTTATACCAGTACCGGCTCTTACTTTCCCCTGTGGGATATTCAGCATCATTTTGGGGTGAATAAGCATTAGAACAGCTATCATTTTGTAAATTGGTGACTGCAAGCCCTTCGAAGCTGCAGTTTTGTGAACTACTTTGTCCCACCGACCAAGCAGTGACGTGTTTGTCGACTTCAGCTTCGGCTTTTGGCCTCCAAGGATCGGAAACGAGCACATGCAAGAGGGCAAAGGGAAACCTGGTTCTTCCTACGCCTACGCCAACCAGCTAGAGCTGGAGCAACCCAAACCTGGTAGGTGGAGACCCCAGTGCAATGAAAACACTGAACAGAGGTAGACCAAGGACAGACTTTGAGCGTGCACCTGAAACACCTTCGCAACACAGCAAACTGCTGGAAACAACCAGCAGGCACCAGGAGAAGAGACTCAGCCTGAATTACTCTCCTGCAGTTCCCTTATCAGAACATCACGTGGGACTGTGTAACCAGCCTCACCAGAGCCAAGACACGCTGATCTGTTTTTACCCTTAAAAAAGGGGACAGTCGCCTCATCAGCTGGGCATAAACCAGTTTGTAACGAGTGTTTTATCACCATATTATTCTCTAGGTGCTTATAAACACCAAACACTGCCCTCCTGTTGTTGATAACCATAAAGATGTGAGGCTAGAAACCTGCCATCTCCTCCTTTCCCTTTTAAGGGCTCTACTTGCATGTCCCTTTTTTCTTGGATTCTTTGGGCTTCCCTTCTCCTCCACAACCCCACGAACATAATTCTGCGCTAACTTTTCAGCACCTGCACCAGCTTTAAGTACTCCAGGCTGAGTTTCTTCAGGTCTAGACTTTATTACCTCTCTTATCTACCGGTGATTTAACTTGGGATTTTTCCTCACCCTGACCTGCACATGACTGTTCAATTACTGGGTTATAACCTTCTCCCTTGGGTTTTAGACAAAGTCTGTGCTTGCTTAAAGGTTTATGAAGTCTGTTGCGCTCGTTAAATCACCAGTACAATGATGTCTTTATTCCTCTTCTCAGAATTACGAACCCTCTTGCTCTGAGGATTTGGGGGAGGAAAGGCACCTTCCATCACTGGGTTCAGCCAGTACCACCCCATTAGTCACACGACTGAAGCAACCACTCCCCACGCTACTTCCTCTACCTTTTGTGATAAAAAAAAGCAACCACCAAGTTTTCTAATAATCCTACGGACTGTGATTCTTGCCACAACGCTTTTCCCAACAGACAACGGGATAATTAAAGCTTTTTGGTAGCAGCCTGCTTTGCCCTTTGAAGGCTTCACTAGTCACGAAGAAGTCTCACCTCCTCCTTGCTTGGTAGTATTAAACCAGCCCCAACACAGTTACAACTCCTACGGCCTCTCGCCTCTTCCCCTGACTCCAGAACTGGTACATGTTGACTTTAAAATCCAGTGCAGCATCCTACTCTTCCCCTATCTTTGCTGAGATAACTACAGCAACTTTATAATTTGCCCCACATCT